GGCACGGACGAGCTGCACCCCCCCACTGAGGTGGGCGAGCTGGGTGCCCGTCGGAGGTGACTTCCCAGCAGGGACGCCCCGCAGCAAGCGGGGCACGTGCCAGCAAGGGAGGACCCGGCCTGGAAACCCGGGCGGGGGGCGTCATTGGCCTGGGGAAGATGACAGACACCCCCGGGAGAGGACGCGTGCAGGCAGAGGAGGGCCTAGCACCGCGTTTCCACGGACACCACCGCGTGGGGCACGCCTGCGGCCAGACCCAAATGCTTCCGCTGAGGTTCTGACGAGCTGAGGGACCAGACTGCGAGACGGCGATTCTCCTTCTGGAAGGAAGCCGGGCGCAGAGAGCCCTGGTGCCGGTGACAGAGGTGTCAATGGCAGTGCGCAGCACGGGCAGACCACAGGCTCTTAGCCCAGAGAAACAGATGAGGGGCCCGAACTTCGAGGGCCTCTTGGTTTGAGGATCTCGATCTCTCATTTGGGTCCAGTTTGGTAACAGAAAAATGTGGCTGTCTGCTTGCTAGCATTAACTAAGTACTACTAATAATAGTAACGATAAAAATAAAATAATGATAATGATGATGATGATGATGATGTTTTCCCTGACAGGTTAGCTAGAGTTGATTGGTTTGGGTGGATGAAACCCCCGTGTCTACACTGTTTTTCACACCATGCTGCCCAGAGCCCCTTTCAGGAGCTGGGAGGCTGGGGATGGTTTAAAAAGAGGTGTTTTGTCCAGCACCAAGGATCGTATTTTCTGGAAGAAAAGAGAACAGTGGAGGCATCGGGGCTCTCAGACTTGAGATCTGCTAGAGTTAAAACCGTTGCTTTTACTGTCACGTTCACACTGTGCAAATCCACAGAAGCGGACACAGTTCACGGTACCCTGGTGACTTTGTTTCCATTAGCTCCGTGTCACAGCCATCGTCTCTGAGATGTCACGGGCACCAGGAGGCCACTCAAATAAACAGCAGTCACTGTGGGCTCTCTTGGCCACACAAGGTATTTTTCAGCACGTGACAAGGAAGGCTATATTTCCCAGAGCTGTTTGTCTGCACAGGTCATGAGATCTTCTTTTGAGAGTATTAACCCCTCTCTTCATGCCCATCCGGCTATAGGTCCCACCCCTTGTCCCATGCGGCCATCCAAGATTTTAGCAAGTTTGAAGGTGTGACTTTATCTTTTTCTCAAAAGTGACTGGTCTTATTTTTGATGATTTAAGGTAGGTTGAACATTAAATCTTTCCTACTGAAAGGCAAACTTTCTTTCCTTTCTTTCTTTCTTCCTCTCTTCCCCTTTCCTTCCCTTCCTTCCTTCCTTCCTTCCTTCCTTCCTTCCTTCCTTCCTTCCTTCCTTCCTTCCTTCCTTCCTTCCAATTTCCTTAAGTAATCTCTACGGTCAACCTGGGGCTCAAACTCATGACTCCTAGTTGCACACCCCGCTGACTGAGCCAGCTGGGCACCCTGAAAGGCAAAGTCTCTAATGTTGGGAATTCTCAGCCTTTGTTTCATTTACATTTTAGCCCTGTCACTGCTCAGTGACATGTCCCCCTGACAGACTTAAGATGGGTGAGCTGCTGGGGTGCCTGGGTGGCTCAGTCACCAATGTCCAACTTCAGCTGATGTCCAACTTCAGCTTGGGTTGTGGTCTTGGGGTTTGTGGGTTCGAGATCCCCATTGGGCTCTCCACTCTTAACGAGGAGCCTGCTTCAGATCCTCTGTGTCTCTCTCTGCCCCTCCCCCATTTGCTCTCTATCTCTCAAAAAGGAATAAACATTAAAAAAATTAAAAAAAAAAAGGAAGGGTGAGCTGCTTGTTAAAGCAGAACGTGGGGAAGCATCTGGGAATTTATTGGCACATTGAATTTCAGTATTTCCTTACAAATTTTATTTGTCCCTGTTCTTTCTTGTACGCAAGAAAAATTGGTGAAATCATCCTATCAACTCTTTTTTTTGGGATAAGCTATCCATTTCTGGGCTGCGGGCTGCTGAAACACATAATTATTTCATTTGGAAAATTATCAACCCTAACAAAACAAAGTCACATTTAGCTACTATTTAAAGAAAAGACCCCCAGGGCGCTTGGGTGGCTCAATCCATTAAGCGTCTGACCTTGGCTCAGGTCATGATTCAGAAGTTGTTCGTCAGGGTTCCCAGCCCCCGCGATCGGGCTCTGTGGTGACAGCTCAGAGCCTGGAACCTGCTTCGGATTCTGTGTCTCCCTCGCTCTCTGCCCCTCCCCCACTTACTCTCTGTTTCTCTCTCAGAAATAAACATTAAAATAAAGTTTTAAGAAAAGACCCCCAAATGAATACACAGTTCCCACCGTGAAGGAGGTAAGACAGGTGCCCCCAAGTAGGGGAAGAAAGCTGTTGGGTGCACTTGGCCTAGACTTGCTCAGAGCTGAACTGCCGGGGCCTCGGAGACTGGGTCTTACCTGCAAGCTTTTCAGGGCCAGGCAGGCTGCCCTCTGGAGCTGGGGGTTTGCCTTTGTCAGTGCCTCACAGTAATACAGCAAGGCCTGGAAGAGAGGGAGGGACCCCGTGAGGACATTTTGATGTGTTTGCAGTTTCGGAGGCATCACTTTTACTCCCGGACCTAAACTATAGATAAAACGAGACATTTCATATGACCTTCAGAGCACAAAAAAAAAAAAAAAAAAAAAAAAAAAAGAAAAAAAAATCCATAACAATTCATGTTTACTAAAAGAACTGTCTCTGAATTCAATCCATTACTCTATCAGGTCACAGACTCTGTGGACTATGAAGCTGGAAGTTCCAAAGTTACGTTTCCAGCATTCAAGAGCCCCTGAGGTCTAGCGCAAGTGCTAAGATTGCAGAAGGGTCTGTAGGGAAGGAATGTGTCTCCACAGAAGCTGCGAGACGCTAAGTGAATCGCGTGGAAGAAAGCCACCTTCCAAAGTGCCAGGACACGGTGCACGAAAATGATACTCGACCTGGACTGGGAAGGACGGGTTAGATTTCAGCCCAAATTAAGAGTTGGATGCTTATCAGACTGAGCCACCCAGGCGCTGCCCCCCCGCCCAATTATCTTTTAAGCTGGTTTAAGACCCAGGCCCTGCGTCACCAACCACTATGTGACCGGCTCTCTACTGTCTTTCTGATTTCCTATGACTTACGTTGACCTAATTATCATTACGTATGTACACATATGTACGCCTGTGTTTATACCTATTTCTATTCTCTCAACTTGCTCACGCGTGCTTCTGGCATTTTACTTAACTTCCTGTGCCTTAGTCTGTCAATCTGCAAAGTGAGTAGAATCAAAAGCCACTCACAGGCCTTTCTGATTCTTCCACATGGTGACACATGTCAAGGACTGAAATCCGGTCTTAGCACGAAGTAAGGCCTCGATAAATGGAGCTGTAGCATTACTGTTATTCTCACATACATCTGCGTATTCATGTATTTGCTTATAGGAGATACAACAGTGACTCCATGTCTGTTGAAGCTCCCTAAAAGATGAAGATCTTGGATTTTTTGTTTTTTTAATCTTATTTGATTCCTTACAGCACCTAGAATGATACCCTGCACTTAGTGACACCCATCAACTCTGGTGCCACCATCGTGCCTGGATGAAAGAGCTTGAAAGTGTAACCAAACACCTGCTGATGTGTTTGCTCATGGGATGGCACCTAGCACTGTGGTGGTCCCTCCCAGTTGTGATAAGACACAGCCTAGTTTCTCAGTGCTGGACAACAGCCCCACCCTTAAATTCTTTTTAACGTTTATTTATTTTTGAGACAGAGAGAGACAGAGCATGAACAGGGGAGGGTCAGAGAGAGAGAGGGAGACACAGAATCTGAAACAGGCTCCAGGCTCTGAGCTGTCAGCACAGAGCCCGATGCGGGGCTTGAACTCATGGACCGCGAGATCACGACCTGAGCCGAAGTCGGACGCTTAACCGACTGAGTCACCCAGGCACCCCAAGAACAGCCCCACCCTTAAAAAAATATGGAGATATAATTCACATACCATAATATTCACCCTTGAAAGTGTATGGCCCAGTGGTTTTTCATACACTCACAAAACATCACCACTACCTAATTCCAGATCATTTTCTTTTTCCTTTTTTTTTTTAGTAATAAAGTTTATTTTTAGTTGGTACTAAGAGAAAGGGACCAGATCATTTCCATGACTCTAAAAAGAAATCCTGTACCCTTGGGCAGTCATTCCCCTGGTCTCCTCCCTCTAGTTCCTGGCAACCACTGATCCCTCTCTCTCTCTGCATTTCCCTAGTCTGGACATTTTGCGGGAACGGAATCACATAACATGTGGCCTTTTACGTCTTGCACTTTCACTAGCCAGATGTGTTCAAGGTTCCTCCAGCACGAGTCAGAATCCCTTGTGTGTTGCATCATATTCCTCTGTAGGGACAGATCACACTTTGTGCACTCGTCAGCCGATGGACATTTGGACTGTTTCCACTTTTTGGCCGTTGTGAGTAATAATCATATTAAATGTCCCATTTCACTTAGGCTTTTGCATAGTTATCATCAATTGGTTTTTGACCTCCAGGGCCAGCCCTTGTGAAAATTGTAAAATGGATGAACTTTAGCACATGATGCTTCTCCATTTTCCCCGTCCATTTCCCTCCTGTACCCCTCCTAAGAGCTTCCAAGCTTTAACCACCTAACCAAAGTTTAACCCGTTGTGCAAAGCATACATTCCAAGGCTTAACTGGCCAAAAACAACTTAAATGGTTCTTCCTCTCAGGCATGTTTGCATGACACTGACTCAAGAGGGATGAAGTGCTGCATATGGGCCCGGTCAGTCCACCGCTGATAATGGGATCTTTGTTTTGTTTTGTTTTAAAATTTTTTTTCAATGTTTATTCGTTTTTGAGAGAGAGAGAGAGAGAGAGA